CCAGCCATTGCTGCCCTTATTGAAAAAGTTACGCGAGAACCTTAGAAAAATGTAAAAGCCCAAATTCATCATGTCTAAAATAATTTCCTATCTGASTATAATTTTGTGTGCAAGTTCAGCATTTTGGCCTTGCATTCCTGCCATCCCATTAAGAACCAAGAAGTCAAGAATAGGATCATTCAAGATGATCCCCATCAGCAGTGGCCTGTTTGTCACATCTGCTTTTATATTTTGTCTGTGATGAGGTTTGTGGTAGCACCTGCAAGCAAATTCTCTATTCCTGACCCTGCCATTTCCCTCCCACTGCTTTGCTTAGGACTGGAGTAGGTTTTCTTCCTTCATCCTTATTTTTCCTTCCACAACCTATTGATTATTTCTATGGAGAAATTGATTTTAACCTTCACTTTGTCAAAAAGTAAGCTAAACTTATTTCTGAAGGTTTACTGTGTGTCTTCCAGCTGTGGGCTTTTCTATGTGGAAAAATGCACATTCCTGAAATACCACATGAGAAGTGCCACCCCAGCCCTGGGGACCTGATGGAGATCAAATGGCAAGGTTTCCAGCACTGGGCCCTCTATGTGGGGGATGGATATGTCATCCATGTGACAGCTGCAGGTAAGGCTGGTGCAGCTGTCACAGGGTGCAGAGTGGGTGTTTGCAGTGCCCCAGGAGCCCTGTGTCCCTCCATGTACTGGTGATGGACCCTGTGTGTGTAGCTGGCCTTTCCAGGAGCAGTGAGAAACCCATCTGAGATCCTGGAGGGGCCAGAGAGGATCTGCCTGCCTGCCTTATCTCTTCTCTGCCCTCCCCAGATGGAAAGGGTCCACCGAAATCAGACACCACTGGGATAATATTCACCAGAAAGGCAAAGGTGAAGGTGAGGAAGAATGTCCTGAGGGAGTTGGCTGGAGATGATGACTGGTATGTCAACAACAAGCATGACTGGTACTGCACTCCCCTCCCCGTGGAGGAGATCATCGAGCGTGCTGAGAGCTGGATTGACAAGGTGATGCCATATGATGAACTTGGCAGCAACTTTGAGCGCTTTATGACAAAGCTCCGCTATGGTGATGCAATCTCTTCCAAGGTGAGTGCCCCGGGCTGAGCCCCTGTGTGCCTCCCAGGGCACCTCCTGGCTGCTCGCTGCTCGCCGCGGGGCTGGGACACAGCCTGCACCCTGCATGGGGACAGCCAAGGGCCAGGCGTGGGCTCCAGAGCAGCACTGCCTCTGGGCTGCCCACAGCCCCTGCACCTGGAGGGTCACTGTGCTCTGTCTGCACCCCAACACTGCCCTCTTACTGAATGTCAGCTCCTTGTTACCAATGGGACACGAGGGGAGAGCTTGCACAAGTCCCTGACTCTGCCCAGGTCTCTGGAAATGCACAGGAGCTGTATTGGGGCAGCAAGCACCCCAAAACCACTCTCACTCACAAGTTCTTAATGTTGACCAATCTGGCCTCTTACAACATTAATTATTTATTGAATAGACCAAGGAAAACAGACTTGAGACTTAGACAGATTCTATTGCTACATAGCAATAAAACTAAAGAAACCCTGCAACAGATAAAGATAGAGTGCACGATTATAGAGTTACCTTATGTTACAACTAGCAAAGAAATATTATTAGTTAGGTGTCAAAATCACTTACCAAAAAATGATAGCGGTGTGCAGAGGTTCCCAGGGAAGTAACTCGATGTCAAAATCTTGACATCGAGGAGAATTCTCCACACACTCAATGAGTTTATAGGTTTCTGATTTCATGAAAATCACAGTGGTCTTTTATGGTTGTAAAAGTGCTTGTGTACTGCAGTCACTAATTTTAGGTTTTCCTTTCTCAACATTCAAGCCAGGATGTGTATTGCTGGGATAAGAGGTTGTCATCCCAGTTAATTCATCACATGGAAATCATTCTGGCCTTACCAAGTCATATGTAACAGGGAGATAAGCTTTTGCTCTGTCCGAGGGAAAGATCCTGCCACATTCCTGTGGGTAAAAACCTGGGTATTTCCCTTCCAGCTTATAGGAAATATTTCTCCCACTGATTTATTTACCCTGTTTATCCCTGCCTATTCTCCATTACCATGCCTGGGGTTATATAAAAATGCTTATCATATTTCCAGCCAGTGTTTTTTCTTCCCCATTCCCCCTCAAGACAGCAACTGTTTGCATGCTGGCACAGGGAGCTGTGCTGTTGTCTTTTCACAGTGTGGGTGTGCTTGCTGAGGATCAAATCCAGAGAGAAAGAGAATAGTGCTGGGCCAACAGAAAGAGCTCACAGAAAGGCAGGGTTTCCCTGGCTGCAACTGGATCTCTGCCCAGCCTTGTCACCCTTATTAAAAAAGTTAAATGAGAGTCTTAAAAAATGTAAAAAACCAAAATCATCGTGTCTAAAATCCTCGTTTATCTGAGTATAACTTTGTGTGCAAGTTCAACAGTTCAGCTTCTCCCTGCCATCCAATTAAGAAATAACGAGTCAAGAACAGGATCATTCAAGGTGATCCCCAGCAGTACTGGCCTGTTTGTCACATCTGCTTTTATATTTTGCCTGTGATGATGTTTGTGGTACTCTGCAAACCCTTGAAAGCAAATTTTCCTTTTCTTATCCTTCCACGTCCCCTCCAGTGCTTTGCTGAGGAATGGAGCAGACTATCTGCCCTTATACTGGTTTTTATCAGCTACTTCCAACTGACTCTTTGTATGGAAAAACCAAAGTTTGACCTTAACTTTCTCAAAAAGTAAACTAAATTTCTTGATGACAGTTTACTGTGTGTTTTCCAGCTGAGGGCTTTAGTACGTGGAGAAGTGCACATTCCTGATTTTATACAAGACACGTCCAGCCCCAACCCTGGGGACCTGATTGAGATCAAACGGCAAGGTTACCAGCACTGGGCCCTCTGTGTGGGGGGTGGATATGTCATCCATGTGACAGCTGCAGGTAAGGCTGGTGCAGCCTGGCAGGGTGCAGAGTGGGTGCTTGGGGTGCCCAGCAGCCCTGTGTCCGTCCATGTGCTGGTGATGGACCCTGTGTGTGTAGCTGGCCTTTCCAGGAGCAGTGAGAAACCCATCTGAGATCCTGGAGGGGCCAGAGAGGATCTGCCTGCCTGCCTTATCTCCTCTCTGCCCTCCCCAGATGAAAAGGGTCCACCCAGGTCAGACCCCACTGAGACAATACTCACTGGAATGGCCAAGGTGAAGAAGGAACTCCTGGAGGATGTGGCTGGAGATGATGAATGGCGTGTCAACAACRTGTATGACTGGTACCACTTTCCCCTCCCAGTGGAGGAAATCATCTGGCGTGCTGAGGGTTACATTGGCAAGGAGGTGCCATGTGTTGTGTTTGGCAGTGACTGTGAG